ATATAGAAATTCTACAACACTTTTAATCAAAAGTTCTAAGGATCATAGTGAACGCACAATGGTTTGTCCCTAACGAGGTGATTCATCAGGATCTTCAGATTACCTCGGTGAAGGAAGAAGTTAAAAAACTTAGTGATAAATACAGTATGAGGTAAGCGCACACCCAAACGAACTAGCAGTGAACCTACTTAATGAAAACACAGATAAACGTAGGCTAAAACGGTACAAACCGACTGACCTCAAGTCGAGATTCGATTAGTTATTACATTGTTAACTAAGATTTTTTTTTTTTCTTTTCTTTTTTTTAGTTTACAAAATACCAGTACTCGAACATATTTAGGAATAGCCTAAATCTATTAACAAGATATTGATCACTGGGGAAATATCTACAAGTTATTTTCTTTATACAAAATTTTACTTATTGTCCTGCACGACAGATTGTAAATTTACCTGGATGTTAATTTAAAAAAAAAATTTTTCTTTTTATTTTTTCTAGCATAATGTATAATCGATTCCGCATATATGACAAACGCAATATTATTAATAATTCAAAATTTAAAAAGATATATATATATATAATAGAGTATATAATAGAATAACTTCGTATGTGTACAAATTACAACTGCAGCCGATAACTGCTAATTAAAATTAATATTTTAACACTAGAATAGCATTTCATTAATAAATGTTTCAATAATATTAAATAATTAAATAGTAAATAATGTTAGTTAAATAGTTAAATATTTATTCTACTTTTAATTATTTTCTTAATTTTTTACGAATAATGTATATATGTACATCCAATCAAAATTGAAGCATTTGGGACGAAAGGAGATAAAATTTTGAATAACTAATTAATTAAGGTTTCTTGCCATTAATTTATAATATTGCTATTTTAATAATTATTATTTTGATAATTAATATAAAAATAATAAACTTAAATAGAGAGTACGTTGTAAATGTAATACAATTCTGTTTATCACATTTTACAACAATTTTAAACGATTTTAAAACAAACATTTTGTGTGCCACAGCTAAAAGCCTAACGGTAGCGTTTGCAACTATAACGAAAGATGCCGTTGTGTATAAACTTTCACGAGAGGGGCACACAGGATTTTTAGTTTCAACGCATAAAGAATAAAAGTTATTCGTGTTTCTGCGATTATTTCCGCGTACAAAATGTAATATATTTTTCCTCGCAATTTAGCCGACAGTCTCAAGCGGGAATTCTCTCCACCTAGAAGACAGCATTAAACACACTTTGTTAAATGATACTTTTCTCTGATCAGTCTCGATCAGTTTTTTCGCCTAAATATCTATTGCGGTCATTTTAGCGCGAAAAAGCGATGTATTATTAATCGGCGGAGACTCGGCGTTTTAACGAGGATAAGAAAGGAAATATGTTTGGGGGAGGACGCTCGCTTTATCGTGTTTTTATGAGAGAGCGGCTGCTCTTGCCAGCGATGATCTTCCTTTGGCGCGTTGGTGTTTCGTGTTTTTTGCTTTGTAATTTCGCTCGCTCAAGAATGGTGATCGCCAATAATCAAGTCACGTTTTTTTCTTTTTCTTAATTATAGTGGTATATTTACAGCTTATTTACAGAGTCTATGTACATGTCTGTTTATGTGGTTGTTTTGTGTGGCCCTGAAAAGGGCCGATTGGTCGGGAGCCGCTTAGGCCGCGGGTTGCCGAGGACACCACGCTATACGCGGCTGCGTGAGCGTGAAACTCCACCGGCGTCCTTCGGTAGGAGTTTGGGTCGCCTTGTCGTAGGCGTATACTTCCCGTGTCTGCGCCGGCGTTGATCTGCGCTCGGGTGTTAGAGCTGCCTGTGTTGCCTTTTCCGCCGTGCTGCGTGGCTCCCGAT